CTGTCCCTGTTTCCTTCTGTTGCAGTGAAAGCCCCCACGGAGAGAGAGCCCTGACGGAGGATTCAGTGCAGGATGTCACAGCTGAGCACCACACCAGTGATGATGGTATGGGAATTCTGCTTTTTACTGGGGAAACTGGTGCGGCCTGCCCTGGGGGGAGGCTGGGCTTGTTTAAAGATGCAAAGTGGGGTTTAAATCAGAATATTCACTGGAAGCATCACTTTGAGGCAGCATTTGGTGGCAGGAGGTACAAAGGTGTAGGATCAGTGAGAATATCTAGAATTATCTGGCAATTTTGACCATGTCTCTGCTTCTCGTGGGTCTCTGTGTGGAGTGGCACATCTCCCTTTGATCAGGGCAGAGGAACCACAAATCTTTTTTCTCCAGGAAAGAACTCAATTTCCATGGATTGCTTGGCTGCATTAAAGCTCCTTTAAAGTAATTAGGGGGAGCCCACTGGGGCTGTGTGGTTGAGCTCATCTCCATCCCCCTGAGCCCTGCCCACAACCAGGAGCTGCCTCAACACACATTTACACTCAGACACTGGCAGATTTTTTTTTTTTTTTCAGAGCCTTAAAAATAATCCAGAGGAATTCCACATTGATTTTCCTGAGTGTCTTAAATGCCCTTATTGTGCCTGTGTATAATAGCAGAGCCCTGCAGGGAGCTGGATTAGTGGCAGGGCATGGCTGGAGCTGCTGTGGGCTCTGCAGGAGTGGGCACAGAGCGTTTTGTGTCTCACCCTGCATGTTTTCCTTGGGCACTTGGATGGGGAGCAGGGCTCCCACCAGGAGAATTCCTCTCTCCTGGCTCAGGTGAGCCTCACAGGCAGCAGAAATTTCCTTCTGAATTGATGCTTTGTTTCTGAAGCAGCCTGGAATCAGAGAGAGGATGTTTCCCTCCCCTGCGTGCCCAGGGGATTCACTTCAGCTGCTTTTAAGGAAGAGAACCCATGGGAGATTTTTGTCTGGAGCAAACTTGATTGTTTCCCACCTCTGAAATCCTTTTTGTTTTAATGAAACACTAATTCTGCCCTTGCCACTTCCATTATTGTTGGCTTGAATTGCTGTGAGGGGATTTTAGGGCTTGGAAAATACAAATGTGCCCTCTGATTTCCAAAAGTGACAGTGCCACNAAAATGCAGCTTTTCAGGAAGCATGGCTGGGAGAGGCACTGGCCCCGTGCAGGGCTTGGAGCTGCAGCTGAGCTCGAGGTGACTTCACAGTCTGGGTGAAACCTTAGCCCTCAGTGCTGCTTCCTCCTGGGGCCTCCCCCTGGCTTCAGAGGCTTCTGTAAACTTTATTAAAGAGCATAAAAAGCTTTGCAAAGCACGGGGAGGGTTGATGGCTGAGGTGCTGGCTCAGGAGATGCTGGGCAGTGGATTAGGCAGAATAAGGAGCCAGAATTATTCAGACATTTCAGCTCTTCTTTTTTTTTATTTTTTTCTGTTTTCCTCATATTTAAAAGAGCGCAGGATTGCCAAAAATAAAATTATTTTAAACCATTGCAGGGCCAAAATGAGGGATGAAGTTCCCTCCTTGTGTGATGAAGGTTAAAAATCACCTTTAAGGAGTCACAGGAGGGGTTTTCTGGTGTAAGATGAAGAGCCAGCCCTGGTTTTTAGCCCTTTTTTTCCCTCCTGAGAGGGGCAGGCAGGGCTGCCAGCTGGCAGCAGCTCTGTGGAGCTTTTTGGAGAGGCAATGGATCCTCTTCCAGTTTCCTTTCTGCTCCTGCCCAGAGGGAGCTGCTCTTACAAAAACACAACCTTTGCTTGCCACTCGTTGTCTGGTGATCCTTCCAGAGCTTTTCTTCATGCCAGACACAAATGAGTCCTCTTGGTGGTTTAGGTGCTCTGGAATCTTAATTTACAGAATCTGTATTTACAGAATCTTTATTTACAGAATCTTTATTTACAGAGAGCTAATTGGGCTGTGGGAGCTGTTGAGGGAAACGAATGGGACGTTGGAGGTGGTGATAAAAGGGATGGAGGGAGATGACAAACACAGGCCTGGAAATATCAGGTTATAAATCAAGGAGTGATTTCCCCCAGGAAGTTGCAGCTTTCTCATCAGCCATCTAATGAGCTAATTAGAGCAGTGGAGAAATGCAGCCAGGGGAATCATCCAGGGAGCAGCTGGACCCAGATGCTGTGGGAGTGCTCAGCATCTCCAGGGCTCCAGGTGTGAACTTGGGCTTTGCTGATGGCGCTCAGAAATGGTCACCGAGGTGTGATCAACAAAGAATTCAGCTTGATTCTCACCCACAGCCACTTCAGCAGATGCATCCACAAAGTGTCTGTGGCAGCAAAATCTAAATTTTGATTCCTGATGGGGATTC